GGCCGAGAAGAGCGACGACATGGCGTGTTTGGTGATGGCGGAATGCCAGAGGGGCCGTGTAAGCGTTTGAGGAGAAATGAGTGGAGAGCGTAAGTTCAGCTCTTGCTGGAACTTGCCAGCTACGGAGTAAAGTTCAACGAGGGTTCAGGTTCCAACCTGGAAAGAACGGAGGATGGAAGGACGGGCCTCGTGATCGCGGGACGACCCCGAGACGTCATCCGGCAGGCACGGCCGACAATGCGGGATGGAGGGGCAGGTGGGGCCGCCCTGGCCAGGCAGTGCCCCTGGCAGCCGAGCTGGGAAGGCCGAAAGGAGCATGTGGGGCATGTGGGGCAATGCGTTGCTACGGCAATGCAGCCTGTGTCCTGCTGTTTGGGTGCAGGCGCGACACCCATGCCATTCATCCCCACTGAAGCATGGGAGATGGCATTTTTGCATGCACCAACCCACAGCTCACTGCCACCATCCCCTGTCTTCGCGAAACGAGCCGCGATACCGAAGACTCGTTCTGGATTGCCACTAGTTCTACAACCGCGATTATTTAGCTTCCAATCAATCCGACAATCATCACAGCCTACCTAGGTACGCGACGCTCATGGAGCGCAGACACACGTCCATGGCGCCACCATCGCGGCCCGGCGCCGGGCGGTCGAGCATCCGCCCTGGAGTACGAAATACCACCACGTCGAGGCCACCCGCACGGCACCCGGCCACCTCGCGGCTGGCACGCGCGGCATCCCCGGCAGACTCGCTCATGTCGGTAGCAACATCGGCCACGGCCGGCGCCAAGCGCAAGGAGCGCGACTTTGACCCCGACGACGGCGAGGCTACCAACATCAACGTCGTCGTGCGGTGTCGCGGCCGGAACGAGCGCGAGGTCAAGGAGAACAGCGCCGTGGTGGTGCGGACCGAGGCGACCAAGGGCAAGCTGGTGCAGCTCTCGATGGGGCCGAACTCGGTCAGCGACAAGACGTACAACTTTGATCGCGTCTTCTCGCAGGCCGCCGACCAGAACATGGTGTTTGAGGACGTGGTGAAGCCGGTCCTGGACGAGATGCTCTCCGGCTACAACTGCACCATCTTCGCCTACGGGCAGACGGGCACCGGCAAGACGTACACCATGTCGGGCGACCTGACCGAAACCATGGGCATGCTGTCCGATAATGCCGGCATCATCCCCCGGGTGCTCCAGGCCCTGTTCAACAAGCTCGAGCTCGACGAGCAGGAAAACTCGGTGCGCTGCTCCTTCATCGAGCTGTACAACGAGGAGCTGCGCGACCTCCTCTCCTCGGACGACAACGCCAAGCTCAAGATCTACGACGACACGTCGCGAAAGGGCCACGCCACCACCATGGTGCAGGGGATGGAGGAGCGGTACATCCTGAACGCCGGCGACGGCCTCAAGTGGCTGCGGGAGGGCAGCGTCAAGCGCCAGGTGGCGGCCACCAAGTGCAACGACCTGAGCAGCCGGAGCCACACAGTTTTTACGATTACAGTATACGCGAAGCAAAAAACGGAGAACGGCGAGGACTTTCTCATGCTGGGCAAGCTGAACCTGGTCGACCTGGCCGGTAGCGAGAACATCCAGCGGTCGGGGGCCGAGAACAAGCGCGCGGCCGAGGCGGGGCTGATCAACAAGAGCTTGCTGACCCTCGGGCGCGTCATCAACGCCCTGGTCGACCGCAGTCCGCACATCCCCTACAGAGAGTCCAAACTTACTCGGTTGCTGCAAGACTCGCTCGGCGGCCGGACCAAGACGTGCATCATCGCGACGATATCGCCGGCCAAGAGCAACCTCGAAGAGACCATCTCGACGCTCGACTACGCCTTCCGCGCCAAGAACATCCGCAACAAGCCGCAGCTGAACGCGCTGACCAACAAGAAGACGCTGCTGCGGGATTTTACTATTGAGATCGAGCGCCTCAAGGCCGAGCTGATTGCCACGCGCCAGCGCAACGGCGTCTACCTGTCCAACGACATGTACGAGGAGCTGACGGTGCAGAACGAGTCGCGCCGCATCCTGACGGAGGAGCAGGGGGCCAAGATCGAGACGCTCGAGACGAACCTGAAAAACAAACTACAAGAACTCTTGTCGGTCACGTCCAACTTTATGGGGCTCAAAAAGGAGCACGAGGGGACGCTGGCACAGTTCGACGCGACCAAGGAGGTGCTCGACCAGACCGAGATCGTGCTCGCGGCCACCAAGAAGGCGCTCGCCGAAGAAACCCACCTCCGCAAGGCGCACCAGGCCACAGAGCAGCAGCTGGCTGTGCTCGGGGGCGACCTGCTGAGCACGCTCGAGAGGACGGTCGGCGACATCGACGGCCTCCGCGCCAAGGACCGGCGCAAGTCGGACCTGCACAGCCTCAACCGGAGCACGTGGAACATGTCGCAGGCCCACGTCGCCGATATCACCGAGCTCGTCGAGGGCCGCATCGAGGAGTTCCGGCAGGGCCAGGAGGAGCACATCTCGAGCGTCTCGCAGCGCATGCAGGCGTTTGTCCGGGAGGAGCTGGCCAAGCTGTCGTCGACCCAGACGTTCCTCGACGAGAACCTAGCCCAGTTCGCCGAGTCGCGGACGCAGCTGGTGGAGCAGCAGGAACGCTCCAAGGAGGAGATGGACACGGTGCTGGAAGAAATCAGGGTTGTTCGGGACAACGTGAAACAGCGCGTCGGCGAGAGTCTCCAGGCCATTGCGGCGGCGGCCGAGCGCATCGCGGGCGACGTGCTGAGCGAGCTGAGCACGTTCCACGGCCAGCTGCACACGTCGTACAGCTCGCTGGGCAAGGACTTCAAGTCGGTCTTTGAGGAGCTGCTGCGGCACATACGCGCGCAAAAAGCCGAGTCTGATAGGCTCAGGCACGACCTCGAGGAGGCGTCCCACGCGATTGTCGAGTCCAACGAGTCGGTGTCGACGAGGATACAGGAGGTGCTGGACGAGGAGCGGACGCAGGCGGCGGCAGAGCGGCAGGCCCTGCTCTCGCAGATAACGCGCCTCATCAACTCGCAGGCCGAGCTCCAGGAGTCGCGGCTGGCCGACAAGGCGGCGCTGATCCAGGACACCATCCTGGACTCGAACAAGACGTTTGAGGGCAGCGTGGCCGAGTACTCGGCGGGCATGAACGCGTGGGGCGAGCGGGACAGCAAGGTGCTCGACGAGGTGTCCAGCTCTCGGGACGCGCTCAAGACCAGGCTCAAGGACGACTGGACGGTGAGTTCTAATCTTCCCCTTCCGCAAGCTTCGCTGACAGGTCAGACCGCAAACAAGCACAGCACCTCGATCCAGACGGCCACCAAGTCGGTCCACGCAGAAACCGTGCGGGCGGTGGAGGAGCAGATCCAAGACCTCGACGTGCAGATGCAGGACCTCGACGACTTTGTCGCGCGGGCCAAGACGCAGAACGCCAGCCACCACGAGCGGCACGCCGAGTCGGTGCAGGGCCTCAACACCACGGTGGAGCAGTCGTTCTCCAACATCTCGGGTCACTTCAAGGAGACGTTCGACCGGGTGAACACGCTCGGCGAGGAGATGGACGCCGACGCCCAGAAACTCGGGGACGCCCTCGACCCTCTCGACGACGACATCTGCCAGCCGCTGGCCGAGCTCAGGGAGGACGTGCAGAGCACCGAGCTGCGCGAGTACGAACCAACAGGCGAGACCCCCGAAAAGATACAATACCACTACCCGACCGACCTGCCCCGCACAGCCGCCTACGACGCCCTGCTCGCCGCCATGCGCGAGTCGCCCACCCCCACCCCGTGCAAACCGAGCCCAGGCCCGAGCCCGAGCCCCGCCGTCTTGCCCGACCTCGACCTGACGCCAGTCCGCTCCCCGGCCCGCCCCACCAGCTCCGACAGCCACCACTCAGAGGGCCTGCGCGAGGTCAACCTCAACCTGACGACGGCGACGGGGTCCATCATGTTTGACCCCGCGGATAGCGTGCTGTCGCTCCCGCCGGCGTCGGCCACAGCAAACAACAGTGATAGTGCGATGCCACTGCCGCTGCCGCTGCTGAAACCGACGACGAATACCAGGACAAGATCGTCGCGGCTGTCGAAACGGGTGGGCGGGATTGCTGCCGTGTTGGCTGCTGAGGGGGCGGAGAATGTGCCGCCGTCGTCTGTGATGCGGAGCTCGACTAGGAGGAAGAGTCCGCGGTTGCGGTAGTTTTTTTACTATTTTTAATGATTGGTGTGTGGTCGCTCGTTGCAGGCAGGCAGGGTTCATTTGTTTGGGCTGGCTGGGGGGGCTGGGTTGGAGTTGGGTTTGAAGGCATGTTGTTGGCCGTCTTATTCGTCTTATTCTAGAGGGTGTTTTGGTGCTTTTTGGGTGGGATAGGAGGCAGTTGTCTAGGTTGTAGGGTTACTGAGCACCGATACCCGTACGGTTCGAGTTTTTTTTTTTTTTTTTTTTGGGGGGAGGGGGTTTAACTTCAGAGCACTGCTTGGTATGGCAGGTTTAGGTTATTCTATCCTACGTTTATTGTTCCTGCTGTGGTTCCAAGTGGTGGGTGGGTGATAGGTCCGGGTCAGTGTCATTAGGGGTGCTGTCAACAGAGCTGTCAACCAGCGCTATCTGTTGTCAACATTTCCCCGTGAAAGCAACCCGGAAGAGATGTCAGGCCACGACGAAAAGGGGGGTGACAATGGCAAAAGAGAAAAACATACAACACAGGGGATTCCCCAGTCGTCACCGACCTGAGTACTAGTCCTGCGGTCAGTAGTTTATCGCGGGGAGAGCGGACGGGATCCCGAGTTTTCTACTGCCTGTGGTCGTATGTGCTTGTCCAAACCCAATGTTGGGTTTATCTACTGGCCGGGCTCCGGCTGCTGCTTGCTGCCCGGTACTGGTACCAGTGGTCGATTCGGGTTCCTTCAAACCGCGAGGGTGGTCAGTGATGCAAAAAGATCCACATCTCGAGGACACAAAAAAAAAACAGCAAAGAACAGGGGGAAGGAAAAAGCTTGCAGTCCCAGATCGGGACAGATGATGCTGATGCTGACAAGGGTGAGATTCGAACTCACGCCCCTTTCGAGACCACGGATTTTTCTCCCGAGAGAGAGAAGGATTAAGGGTGGACCTTAACGTGGCGCCTTGGACCGCTCGGCCACCTTGCCTTTGGATTGCTGTGTGGAGGCCGGTTTCGGGGAGGGTTTTTGTGGTGGAGATGGAGGTGAAGGTGGAGGGGGTCCACAGGACTGTCGGGTTGGTGTTGACGATAGGGATGACGATGCGGATGAGGATGGAATCTCGTGGATGGCAGGAATGAGATGCGCTTGCCGATTTCACGTTTGCTGGTGCTGCCTGGCGCGAGTGCCGAATACAGAACGTACAAGTGCCTTGACGGAAGGCGCGCCCTTCCAAGTTGCAATTGTTCGGGCTTGTATCGGCGCCCTTCGGCGGTGGGCAAGATGCCGTAACATCGCGGCCCGGGGTATCTGCAACGCCGATGAGTCTTCGGCCAGGACTGGCTCGCCGAGTGCGGATTGGGCAGGTGCCGGCACGGCGGACGGGAGCGGCAGCGGGGCCGGAGGGTGCCGATTCGATCGGTGTGGTCGGTGGAGGGGTAGCACGGGAGGGGCTAATCGGCACGACATCATCTCGGTCATGTATAGGGCGTCATCACAGCTGCCCATAAGTTGAATAAAACACTCCCCGTTTGAACCTGTTCTCCCTCCTGTCACTCACCGAGTAAACCCCCTTCACCTCACCAACTAATCCCCCCCCCCCCCCCCCCCCCCCCCACCACCCCCCCCCCCCCCCCCCCCGACCTCACCACCTTCCGCGCCCTCTCCTTCGATTGCTACGGAACCCTCCTCGACTGGGAATCCGGCCTGGCATCCGACCTGCACCCGCTCATCACCCTCCTCCCCGCCACCCACCCCTTCCGCGCCAACCCCGCCCTCGCCGTCGCCCGCTTCAACGACCACTCGGAACACCTCTGGCACACCCAGCCCAAGCTCGCCTACAACGCCAACCTGACCGAATCCTTCCGCCTGCTGGCGCACGAAGAAGGCGTCACCACCCTGTCTGATGAGACCCTGCACAGGATAGGCGACGGCCCTGGCCGGTGGCCCGCGTTCGGCGACACCGTCGACGGGTTGAGGCGGCTGGGCAAGTTCTACAAGTTGGTCATCCTGAGTAACGTCAACGAGGCCAACATCGCGCGGGCAGTCGCCGGGCCGTTGGCCGGGGCGCGGTTCGACGCCGTGTACACGGCCGAGGCGATCGGGAGTTACAAGCCGAGTCTCGAAAATTTCAGGTATCTGTTTGAGGGGGTGAGGCGGGAGTTTGGGGTGGACAAGGAGAAGGGGGAGCTGTTGCATGTTGCGCGGAGCTTGACGGCGGACCATGTGCCCGCGAAGGAGGTCGGGTTGAGGAGCGTGTGGATTGCGAGGGGGGGCGATACGCCCGAGGGGTATGGGACCGGGGGGGATTATGAGCAGTTGAGGGGGGAGGGGAGGCTGGGGTTTGAGTGGCTGTTTCAGACCGTCGGGGAGTTTGCGGATGAGGTGGAGAGGCAGTTTGCTGAGAAGCAGAAGGAATGAAGGTCTCTAGTTTTTGTTGGATGGATAGTAACTCTAGTCAGCAATAGAGTATCACAGAAACGAATCCAGCTCCTCGGACCCCGCCCTGGCCTTCTTCCGCGACCTAGGCGGCCGCCGCTGCGTGTCGTCCCCGCGCCACCCCTTCCTCATCTTGATCGGCTGCAGGAACCGGTCGACGTGCACGCCGCCGTCCATCTCGTCCGCGCTGTCCTCCTCGTCGTCTGTGAACGCGGCCGCCCGCTTGCCGTGCACCGTCTGGAGATGCCGCGCGAGGTTGGTCCGCTTGGTGAACCCTTCGACGGCCCGCGGGCAGCTGGGGTAGGGGCAGAGATGAGCAGGCCCGGGCGTGCCCGACCGGCTGCGTCTGGACGGCTCTTCTGCCTCTGTATACGCCGGCTCTGCGGGGTCCGGGGTCCGGTCGCCGTGTATCTCCTTCAGGTGCCTCAGGAAGTTTGACCTTTTCGTAAACCTCACGACGGACCGGCGGCAGCCCTGGTGGGGGCACAGCAGCAGTGCCGGGGTGCCTGATCTGCTGCGGCGGCGGGCTGGCATCTCCGACTCCGGCTCGGGCGATGACATGCCGGGCTTGACGCTCGACTGGCGGCTGATGGCCCGAAGCTGGACCAGCTCTTCGTCGGAGTCGTCGTCCTCCGATGATGAGGGGAGAGGGTCCCCGGGGACATACCGCACCGTCTCTAGCCCGGCGTTATCGGATGCAGCAGGCTGTTCGTGCAGCGTGTGCATCGTCATCTCCTCTCGGAACAGCGTTGCGCACCGCTGCGTGGCGCGGGCCATGACCGCCGGCGAGAAGCCAGCCAGGGCCGCCGCCCCCAGCACGTCCCGCCAGCCGCGCAGCCCCCATCTGGCGAGCAGCTTCTCCCTGTTTGTCTCGGACGAGACGCTGGACCCTCTCTCGGATCGAGAACTTGCCCGCGAGCTGGCCCCTGAATTTGGTGCTGGGCGTCGGCCCCTACTCCTGCTCCTGCTGCGGTCCTCCCCAGATTCTGCCCCCGAGAAAGTTGGCAGTTTGCGCTTCCCTGCTCTGGCCAACCTGACCAACATCTCCTGCTCCGTCTCCCCGTCCCGCGGGAGCTGCACCTTCTTAGGCCTCCCCCCGCGATATCTAGGCGTTGGCGACTTTGACGGCGCCCGCGACGGCCTCTCCGACACGCCCTCGACGTCCGTCTCCTCCTCGTCGCTAGCAGAGGACTCCGACATGTTGCCGAGGCCGGCCATGCGCTGGTTGTGCAGGATCATGAGCGTGTCGTCGAGCCGCGCCATGATGCCCCGCGCGGCGGGGCGCAGCAGCGCGTACGACCGCTCATCGTCGGCCGACACAACCGGCGTAAAGGTAGGCGACGCCGCGCGCCGTTTCCGCCGGGGCGTCTTGCGGGGTTCGTCATCCCTGCCGGTCGTCTCGGCCACATCAGATGCGTCCGTCTCGCCCTCGGTGGTAGCAGCAACATCGCCCTTCTCGATGGACTGCAGCACCACCTCGTCACCCTTCGCCTGCTGGCCGCCGCCCTGCAAACCCCTCCCCCAAAACTTTTCCTTTGCGCGCCGCAGCATCGCAGCCGAGATCTCCTCCTCCAGGTTACACCCCGCAAACGGCCGCCCCTCCTCCCGCCGGAACGTAAACGGCTCGTTGACATCCCCGGTCCGGGGCAGCAGCCCATCATCAGGCACCTCGTCCGCCTTGACCGGCCACGCCGTCCACGCCTTGCCCGGCTCCCACCCTTCGCCGCCATCCTACCCACCACCATCAGCTCAACCCTTAGATAAGGAGAAGGAAAGACATACCTGCAAAAGACCGACGTCAGGCCCCCCCCGCAACCCCCGCCTCAACCCAAACGCGTTGTACAGGTGCACCCCCAAGTCCTCCTTGCGCACATTCTCCAGCGCGAGCCACGTGCGCCGGTCGCGCTCGGTCCAACTCTGCCAGGTCGACGGGTGACCGCGCCAGCGGTTGGGGCGCGTCTCGTGCAGATGGTCCGAGTCGGAGTCGAGGTCGAGGGCTGTGCCGTCTTCTTCGTGATCGTCGTCGTCGAGGCTGTTTTGGGGTGGGTATCCCGGTTCTGGTTGGGAGGAGGGATTTGATAGGGGGTGAGGGCCGGGTTGTGACATTTTCTGATTGGGGGGGGGGGAGGTGAGTGTGATGCGTTTTGTTTGAGTGACGACTCGAGTGAGGGACCGTCAGTTTATTTGTATGTCCCGTTTGGAAGAGATTGGAGGTTGAAATCTTCTTGGTGTAGTGTGTGGTGTCAGATCTGACACTGCATTAAACGACTGTAAAACCAATCCGAAGGTAAGTTGTTGAATGGGTTATAAAGGAATCCCAAATTAGAAGTTGTTTGTTGAGAGTTAAACTCATTGGAGAAGCGAGAAAGTGAGCGCCAGATGACACAGGCAGCCCTAACCCTAACCCTTCTAGGTGCATCGTTGAGGCTTGAGGCGTCTTGCATGAACTGACAACGATGTCTGGTTCAGTTTGTAACAGAACGTGGCGTATCATCAGGTCTAATTCTGGCAAGTCTTCGTGGCTGCGAGCCATTCCTGCATTAAAGGACTGGACGTGTGAATAACATCAAACTTGAGCAACTGCGAGCAGGTCCACCTCGAGGTATCATTACTCCAATACACTACGCCTTCCTCTCCTTCTCCAGCCGCCGCCGCTTCTCGCGCAGCTTCATGTCCTCGGCGCTCTTCTTGTTGTTGGTGTACTGCATCTGCTCAAACAGCTTGCGCTTCTTCTTGCTGAGCATGCCCTTGGCGCGCTCCAGGTCCTCGGCCTCCTGCTTCTTGCGCCGCTCGAGCGCCTTCTTCTCCTCGAGCTTCGCCTTGGTCTTGGCGTCCACCTTCCTGTCGCCCTGCACCGCCTTGCCCGCGATCTCGGCCTCGAGCTCGCGCTGCCGCTGCAGCGTGGCCGACTCCTCGTCGTCCTCCGACGCTTCTTCTTCTTCGCCCGAGAACCCGCCAAAGTCGCCGTCCTCCTCCTCCTCCTCGTCGTCCTCGTCCGACGCGATGTCCATGTCGTTCTCGACCTCGGACGCCTCGCCCGCCTCGCCGGCATCCTCCAGCTCGGCGTCGATGGCCTCGCCTTCGGTCTGCTGCTCCTCCAGGGGCACGGTGGGGTCGTACTGCCCTTGCGTGGGCTTGACGAACGGGCTGAGATGGGGCGGGAGCGCCGCGCCGGGGGCGTAGACCTCGGGGCTCTTGAGCTCCTCGTCGTTGACGCTGTCCCACACCCACTGGGGCTGCACGTACACGCGCCCGGGGTAGCGGTGGTTGGGCCCGACCTTTTGCGAGGTCTGGTTGTCCTCACCGTCGCCCTCGTCGCTTGTGGCGGCCTGGACCACCGGCCGGTCGACGATCTGGTGCGTGATGGACGGATCCGACTCGTCGGTTGTGAAAGAACCCTCGCCGAGGACCGAGTCCCAGCCTATCCTCTTGCAGCCGAACGCGCGGAGAATAAACTCGAGCGACTGCCGGGGCGTCTCGCGCGACAGGAAAAATGTGAACTTGGAAAACAGCTGCGCCGGGTCGCTGCTGCTGTACGACGGCTGCGGCAG